CAGTTTGACTGGCCCCATTTGTTGAAGATGCTGTCTTGTCTCTAGGGTGTATTTTTGGACTCGGTCAAAAATCAAGTGGCCATAGGTGCATAGACTCACATCTGGCTCTTCAGATCTATTGCACTGGTCATTGTCTCTGTAGTTCCATGCTGCTTTTATTGCTGTAGTTCTGTAGTACAACTTAAAACCAGGAATGGCGATACTTCCAGCATTTCCTTTATGGTTCAGGACCGTCTTGGATATCCTGTTTTTTTATGCTTCCATGTGAAATTTAAGATGATTTTTTCAGTTTTTGTGAAGAATTGTGTTGCAATTTTGACAGGAACTGCATTGAATCTACGGATTGCTTTTGGTAGGATGGCATTTTGCAATATCAGTCCTATTAATCCATGAACAAGGGAGGTCTTTTCATCTCTGCTATAGTCTTCAGTTTTTTTCTTTAATGTCTCAAAGTTTTTATTATATAGGTTTTCTTTGGTTATATTTATTATAAGATATTTTATTTTTTAGGCTATTGTGAATGGAGTTATTTCCTAGATTTCTTTTTTAGTATACTAGTCATCTGTATATAGGAAGCCTGTGGTAGGAGTTTTCTGCTAGAGTTTTTTGGGGTCTTTTATGCATAGAATCATATCATCTGCAAATAAGGTACATTGACTTCTTCCTTTCCCATTTGTATCTCCTTTGTCTCCTTCACTTATCTTATTGCTGTAGCTGCTACTTCAAGCTCTGTATTGAACAGGAATGGTTAGAGTAGACATCCTTATCTTGTTCTTGATTTTAGTGAAAGTGGCTTTGAGGTTTTTTGTTTCTATTTAGCATAATGTTGACTGTGGATTGTTGTATATTCCCTTTATTGGGTTGAGATATATCCCTTTTGACCAGGGTTTCTTCTTTTTCTATCTTATGGTTCATACATTTTGTCTTTTTACAGTGTCCCAAAGGTCCTGCATGTTCTGTCCCTGGGTTTTGTAGCTTTAGCATTTTCTTTTTCTTCTCTGTTGTCCTGGACACCTGATATTATCTCTTCTACTTTATCCAATCCACTGATGAAGCTTTCCTGTGACCTTTTATTTGAATTCCTTAGTTTTTCATTTGGAGTTTTATTTCAGTTGGCGTTTTTCCCCCCCAGAGATTATATCTCTTTATTAAGTTCTAATTTCAAATCGTGAATTGTTTTCTTTATTTCATCCAACCATTTGTATTTTTGCACTCTCCAATCAGTCTTTTACTCACATCCTCTTTGAGATTCTTGAACATATTTATAACTGCTCTTGTGGAATCATTGATTTTTGTATCAGGTAAGTTGCATTTCTTAAGAAACATTACCATGGGGATGCTAATTTCTGGAGGAGATTTATTCTGTTGGTTATTCATGGTGTTTGTCTTTTTGCAATGTGGTCTAGGCTTCTTGAGTTAGGTTGTGTTGGTGTTTCTTGGTATGGATATGTGGTCTCTCCTTTGTTGAGTGGGTGTTTGGATCTTTGCTGTTATCACAACTCCTTAGGTTATTGAACGGTGCTTGGTGCCCCTTTGTGTTGATGTGTGAATGGGATGTCAGAAATGGTCTCAGTTCAGCTAGGGCTAGGTTCACTTCTGAGCTTAGGAGCAAACCTTACATAGGATTAAGAAGATTCTTGCTGTTGATCTTCTGAAGTCTATGGAGGGCTTGCCAAGTTCTATAGGTGGTATTGGATATCAGGGGCTGGGGTCATAATGTGAGTTGGTCAAGGTGCTTTGTGGGGTTGGAGTGCAGGACACAACCCCCAGGTAGAGGTTGATGGTATGGAGACATGGCTAGGGGTCCTTATCTGAATCAGGGTAACAGGACACCACACAATCCCAGAGTGTCTTGATAAGTGGGATAGTGGATTGGCTCTGGGGTTCCCTATTTGGGGGAGGGCCACATGGTTCCCAGGCTGAGCCCCAGGGTGACTGGTGGAACGGTGGACAGGTAGAATGGGTCTAGGTGTTCCTACCTGGGATCCACTCACAGGATGCCTCATGGTCCCAGAGTCATGTGGTGGGTGGAGCAGTTGGCAGGCAGGTGGGCAGACTGGGTTTGGGGAGTCCCTACCTGGGATTCAAGGTCAGACTCCACCTGGTCCCAAAGAGGCAAGGTGTGGAGGGTAGCAGCTAGGCAGGCAAGTTGGGGTCAATAAAAATTTTTAAATAGATTTAAATGAAAAGATCTGTTTTTAAGTTGAATTACCTCAATGATGTAAAAGTACAAAACCAGAGATATAGCAATACGGTGCTGGTACTACAGGCAAGTATGCCCCAGTTTGGTTCCCCATCTCTTCCTTCCAGACCCCTTCTTCCACTACACTTTGCTAAATGATTTGCTGTGCATGAGAGACATCTAAATTAAAGGGGCACAGAAGCAAGTAAATACGGGCTTAATTTTTATGGCATTAAATAAACATAGTAAACAGCAGTTAGAAAGAAACGCTTTAGGAACATAAAAATAAAATATTGTAACAGCAGTGGTAAGCTTTACCACTCTTTTTTTTTTCTGTGTAGGAGTGAGGAAACCAAAGTAGGTTATATATTATATAAACAAAAGAATTAATGAGGTAATCCCATTGGAAATATGCCAATTTTATATAGTTATCCCAGAATTTACAATTTTCTTTTCATTGATCACAAGACCCTGATAAAACTGACCATGTAATTCATCCACCAAGAGAACCTCAGTGTGCTTCAAAAAATAGAAATATATGTAATCCAGAGTTTTTACAGCATTTAGGACAAAATCTTAGTAGATCAATAGGTACCTTGCACATTAATTTTACTTGATAGTGTACATAAGTTAAATGTTTTTATTTTAATACCAATTGGATACAAAAAAGAATCAAATATTAAGTTGCCCCCACATTTAAAGGCAAAGCAGAAGACACAAGGAAACCATGCTTAATGGAATGATTTTGCTTGGCTTTCTTTCCCTGTCCATTCTTCTCCATATTTTAGGGTAATCGGGCCTAAAGTTTAAGAAAAACTGTGATATTATTTTTTTTCACAGTTTAATAAATGATACATTAAATCTTTTGTCAGACAGAACTAACAGGTTTAAAATGTTGCCTCCTCTCCAACTTTTGCACAGAAAATTAACAAGTACTATCCTATTCTAGACCCAATGGAATTTTTCTTATGAAGACACTTTAAAGTTCTGGGCTAGAAACTTAGAATTTTTTGGAAGTGGACATGTCTTAATTTTCTTCTAAGCAAAAAAAAAAAAAAAAAAACTAACAAGCTAGAATTCATCAATATGTCAAGGACTGGTAACAAATGCCTCTTCAGGTCTATTCTGAGCTTTTCTGGATAAGGACTGTGTCTTGTTTACTTTTGTATTTAGGTATTCAGCTGAAACTTGGCTCACCGTAGGTGTTCCTTAAATGTTTACAGGACATCCAATGTTAACTTCTGTATTAGTTAACTTTTCTGTTATGGTAATAAAACACCATGACCAAGGAAACATATAGAAGGAAGAGTTTGTGGTTCCATGGGGTGGGTTCATCATGGTGAGGAGGACATGGCAGGAGGTAGCCAGTGCAAAAAACTGAGAATTTACATCTTCAAGTGTAGGAAGCAGAGAGAAGCTACAAATGGGCAAGGCTTTGAACTTTCAAAGCCCACCCCAGTGATGTGCTTCCTCCAGCAAGGTCATACTTCTTAAACCCCCTTAACAGCACCACAAACTGGGGATCAAGTGTCCATATACTTGGAGCCTTTGGGGAACAATTCTCACTGGAACTGCCACAGCTTTCTCTTATCTGTTGGTAAATAAGATGGTTTGGTGACATCGGACTTTTCCCTTCTTTCATGGCTTAGCTTGGTCAGGTGTACATCTCTACTCGGAGAATAAACTTCTCTCCATGTGGTCTTTTTTAACCTGAGCCTACAAATCAGGGTTGCCTTTCCCACCAGTGATCAGAAGATTCTGAGTTGAGGGTAAAAGAATGCTTCGTGGTAAGGGTACAGGAATGAATTTATTGCTCACTGTTCACTTTTGTTTGTTTTTTCTCTTCTAGAGTAGAGGAAAAATCAATAGGCGAGAGAAGGCAGGAGTAGTGAAATTTTTTAGAAAACCACGCATTCCTAGTCCAAATATGTTCACTACCTATCTACAAAGTTGTTTTCTCTCTTGTAGAGGGGTCAGTAGCATATGCGTGGAGCTATGGCCAATGGAACCTTGCGATGAGTGGAGGGAAAGACCTGAAGAGAAGTAATATCCCTTAGTAAAGTATGTGTAAAAATTATTTAACTAAATTTAAAAGAGCATGAGAAACTAATTTGAGAATTGTTTTATTAAGAAATACATAGGATTAATTACAAAGCAGCATGTACATTTTCAAAAGTGCTCACAAAATAAATTAGAAATACATTATATAAAACTTCAAATATATACATTGTAGCTGTGGCAAAGGCACTCTGGAACCTGCTTACACACACCGCTGCTGTCTGTTCGCTCACTTTTCAGACTGGTTTTATGACACATTTACAACGTTTTGCCTGACCCTTCTTTCAGATGGCATCATCGTATCTGTAATGGTTTGCACACTCTCCTTTCCTTTCATTTTCTTCTTCTGTAAATTTTAGTATGAGAACATTAGAAGGGTTATTACATGTAGAGAATCCCGCCTTCTAAACAGAGCTCAGATGCTGTGATTGAATTCACCATTTGTTGTTATTGTTGTTGTTGTTTTCAGTTTAACTCCTACTACACTTTCAGGGTTCCCCTGGAGTAAGGCTCATGAAGATCCAGATGAGAAATACTGCCTTGAAGCAGGTCATTAATATTGTAGCTATTTCCAATGACATTCTCGCCCATTGAAGCACCCACATTAAACAGTAACAGTTTACCAAAAATAAGTTGAGAATCCCTTCTGTAATTAAAGAATAACTATTGGTGGTCTTTTAAATGTCACAGACTTAAATGTTGTCTACTGAAAAGATGATGTATTTCCGTACTATAAAATGTGACTATAATGAAGATGGGTTTATTTTGGAATTTGACAGAAATGACGCCACCATGCTATGATTTGTAACATTTGATTCCGACAGTTGCGTTCAATGTCTTTCCCTGTTTTCTGGTTAGTAGTGTTTCTCTGTGGAATAGTAGAAAAAAGACAAAAATTAATTTTCACTGTCTTTAACATCAGGTTGAGTGGCAGTTGATGTTACCTTTCTCTATACAGATCCTGTCCAAGGTATACTCCAATACTTGTTCACTGTATAATTGCACATGCTTCCTCCTGAGGAGTGGCCTGCCTCTCACATACTCTTACCTCAAGGCCAAGTGCCACCTCCCTGATCAAGCCTCTACCACTGGCTCAGACCTTTTTTTCTGAAACTCTTCTAGCACTTCAGCATGTGTCATTTCACTTGGCACTCATTTATTGCATCATGGGTATTCCCCATAACACCAAGTACTGTTTTATAAATAAATCATTTGTCACATGATTACAGAAATAAATACATTTATAATTTCATAATCTCTTTGACAATATAAGTTCCTAAAGGGCATGATCTATCTTTTGTGTCTTAGTAGGCATAATTCAATAAATCTAGTCTGTTATTTGAAATTGAAGTGTCCTTTCTCACACACCCCATCCCAGAGATCCCTAAAGGATCATTCTGAAGCAGAGTCCCCTAGAATCCTGACACACTGAGTCATCTAGAGTTCCCTGAGTTATCAGGCAATACTCTTCTGGTCTTCTCAGGCTTCACCTTTGGGCTGAGAAGATGCTGAAATAAATTTCTCCAGATTCTCCTTTTTCCACATAAAGTCCAAGAGTTTGATTAGTCTGTCTTCTGTCTTGTGATATTGATAAATTTATTGTGTCTATCTGTGTTTTTTTAAGGTCTCCATGAAAAGAAGGCATAGTGCCATACAGGTTTCTCATATGGTTGCCTAGTACTTTCTCCTGCAAGCTCAACTAAAGTCCCTCCAGCTTTCAGCTTGAGCAAACCCTACCGGTTTAGTCTTGAAGTCCTAAAACATGACAGTCTTAGTTACCTAGATATTTAGATTACACACAGATAAGGTTCACCAAGTTAAGAAGCAGAAGTTTACACACACACACACACACACACACACACACACATTTATATGCATGAATAAACTTACATATGCACTTGTCTGTCTTTGTCTTTCTTAAACTTATCATTGTGGAGATAAATGTTCCACTTCACTTGCTAACTGAAATAATGTAAGGTAGCTTTTCCGTACCAGGCACTGTTCCAAGTGCTTTTACATGTACTGACTTGTTTAATTCTCATAATATCCCTGTGTAGGATGTAATAGTATTGTACTTTTTTCTTACTGAGGCACCTAGAGACCAAGTACTTTATCCAAACCTTCACAATTAGGAGTTACAGGGCTAGGATTCAAAGTGAGGCAGGATGTCTCCGGAGTTCTTTTAATTTTCCATAATATTGACTTCGTCTTTAAAGGTGTACAGTCATTCTAAAATTTATGTAACTGCACACACAAAAATGTATGTAAAGAGGTTGTAATTCTGCCCCTACAAACAATTAAAGTGACATGGGGTAGTGATTTAATGTATGAGGTAAATTTGAAGGAAAAGCATACTACTATTTAGTTATAAGCCTAGACAGTGTTGGTAAACTTTGGAATGAACAGCAATCCCTTAAGGAGCATCATACCCAGAAAATTTGAAGGTCTGGACCAGGTACCTGGGAATTGGCTTTTTGAGGTGTTGTGTTCCAGGAGCCAGGGAACATTCTGATATAGGAGACGCATTGATCACACCTTGAAACACTGACCTCGGTTTTAGAACCAAAATTCAGCCAAACAACAACAAAAACCATAAAACGCTAGAGATGTTAGGTTTGGTCCAGTTGTCAACGCAAGCATGATTATCAACCTGGTTTATTTGTTCTCCAGAAGATAAAACCAGAAGAAAAATCACCACACTAAAGCCCCCAAGGTATTGCAAAGCTATTGTCTGATGCTGCGTGCTTACCTGAGTTCCAGAGTAGCCTGGGCAGTGGAGAGTGAGGGTAGACTTCGTTTTTATGGCGAATGGTTTCCGGGGTAGTGAAGGGCAGCCACTGGCAGGATTAAAAGTCTGGTGCTCTATTTTCATGAGGCAATCTGTCTGCTCACAAGCGGCAGAGTTCAAGGAGAAATGGGGGAAACGCCAGGAATTAAAAATTGAATGAAAGGGGGCAAGGAGAGGAAAGCAAGATGAAGGTGCCTCTAATAAGAACGGAGCCGAACATTAGAGCTGAGAAGAGAAGAGGGAAGTGGAACCATCCCACAAGAAGGAGGGACCTGGCGAGTGTAGCTAGAGTGGGGACTGCAAGGGCTTCCACCCCCACCCACGCTCGCTCCGCCCAGCCTCCCAGGCAGCTGTCAAGAGCCAGTGCTGACAGCAGATGCTGGGGACTCCGGGAGGTGGTGTCTCAGACTCCGTTCCCTGGTCCCGGCTTCGCTTGGCATTTGCTTTTTCCTCCTGGGCAGAAGAAGGAGCCTCCACCACAGTCTCGCCCGTCCCCAAAGAAGCTTTTTCCCCGGGAAGCTGGAGAAGCTAAGTCCCAAGCTGGCAGCCTAGATGTCCCCTGCTGGCTCAGCTGCCAGCGGTGCTGTTGCCTGGAGCTCAGCACAGTCTGGGAGCTCAGCCACCGCCTGGAGGTCTACACTTCTGCAATATACGCCCTCCCAGGATGTCTGCCACCCTAGGAGAAAGCCAGCAGCGCTGACCACTTTACTCACCGCATTGTAACAGGGCTGTATTTGGGTGAACTTGCCCTGGAGAAAACAAATTAGAATAAGACTAAAGATTTGAGCATGAGGGAAAACTGTTCCTCAGTCTTTCGCTTTCAGGTGCTTTAAATGCAATTTCCACCCAGGAGCCTATCTCCTATGTCATGGATAAGATGGTAAAACATTCAGATGCTACTGACTAGCACTACAGAAGACATCAAAGGTTCCTGGTCTTAAGAGGGAGCCCCCAGCCCTAGCAAGAAGGCACAGCAGCACATAAAACTCACTATCCACTTCCACATATGCCTTATATCCGTCATGCATGCCACACACACACACACACACACACACACACACACACACACTTTGCCTAGGAATGTGAAGGATATTAGTTACTACTACATATTTAAAAATCCAACTGTACCATGTCCTGTCCTGTAACATCTTGAAACACCTAGAATACTAGAAAGCCGTGAAACACAGCTTCATGCCTTAGCTGTCCTCACTCCTTTGTAGTGATTTCCCAAGAATCCCTTCTTTACTGCAAAGCCACTGTAACACCGTAGTAGAAAAAAGACAGTTATCTGTCACCTATCGTCAGCTTCTGCTCACTTAGAAAAGGCTATGTGGACAGGTATTTTAGGTGCCAATGCATTTGGTATGCCACTTGTAAAAATTTTTCAGGACATTTCTTTTTCCAAATTATTTTCCTTTCCTTGAAAATTAAATTGTCGTTTGTGTCATGTGCACACCTTCTCTTCTCATGAGAATATGTTTGCTTCATAAAAGTTTCTTAACTTACCGGGACCTTCAGGTCTTCAGAAATTATTTCATCATAGATGATCACAATCTTCTTAAAGTCACAGTTAGAGAAGTTATAAGTTAGCACCAGCCCTACCAATTGAAGGACGAAGAGCTTCCTGAAAAAAACTGACAGAACAAACAGTAAGAAAATGTTCACTGAAACTCAGTATCCAACCCAGTTTCACATGTTGCTTTTCCCACCAAGTCTGAATAGCCTCTAGATCTGCAAGGCCAGTGCTCAGCCGCCAGCCTTTACCTCCCCTTCCCAATCCATACACAGTTCATAGTCACCCATGCTGTTGCCTTAAGTTGGAGTCTCCCTGATGCTCCAGAGCTTTCTGACTCCACATATATAACACCTAAACGCCTACGGGCTCCTTTCTTGTAGGCCAATGATTTTCTTTGATGTCATTCTTTCTTTATAGAATTCTAAATTGATGATGCAAAAGAAAAAATAGAGCTAGCCAAATCTATGGAATTTTAACATTACCAAATGATCAGGAATTTCCCTCACCTTCCTCCTTTGAACTATGCCCTAAACACTTGCTACATGCTTGGATGTACTTTTAGAGATGGATACCATACTGTCATTTGGGCATCTTTCTACTACTGGACACTTTCTATGACTGACCCTGTCTGTCTGGGAAAAACACCTTCTAACACTCACAGCCACTCTAAGGGCTTGTCAATGATGCTCTCACACCTTGCACACCTCTGAACATTTCCTTTGTCTACTTTGAACTGGGGTTTTCCCCTTTTCTGGCCACTGAGAAACCCAGTGTTCACTTATGGGATGCTTTGGAGGGTGAGTGAAATCTCAGACTAAGAAAACTTCTTCCTGAAGGCATTAAAAGGGGATCGTGAATAGTGCTTGGAACCTCAGGAGCAGGCACAATGAGAAATTAAAATGTATGAGAAAAGATTTAACGGTTCTTCCTCAAAACCCTGTCCATGAGCTGTGGTAATGGGGATGCCTTGTGGACTGAGGACTCAAATTCTAAAGGCCTCAAGGATTTTGAAACCACCAAGTCAAGTGCTCAACAGCCTTCACAACTCTGTTATGGAGGCCATTGTCCAGTGAGGATGGCCCATGTGTATAGCAATCCCATTGCACTGTGTGGTGGGGTCTGCAGCAGTGAGCTGTGCTCCTGAAGACGCTGTCCAGCATGCCCCTGTCCTGGAGGCATACGGGCTTCTAAGCTGCTTCAGGGAGGCTGTACCTTAGGTGCTCAGCCCAGGATGCACAACTTGGGCAACTTCCAGTGGCCTTAGGCATGTGTCCCAGCACCAATGTTAGGGAAGGGAATGGAGAGAAGTGGCGGGTTAGGATTTTCTCTCCAACCAATTGTAGATCCAGGAAAGTGAGTACAGGGAGAGTGCTGGAGAGGATGTCTAACAGCCTCCAGAATGGAACAGTGCCACTTCAGGGGAGCAGGGAGGGGAGGCCGACATGGGCCCAGCTGTTGGAATGAACCCTACTCTGCTGGAGCTCAGCCCACACCACCCAGGGCCCTCTTGACACCCATCTCCTCCCCCCGTTGCGTGTCAGAGCCTGCATGGGTCTGGTCCTTGGGAAGTTCCTAGGAGTCATCGCTCTGAGCAGCTGAGGCTGAGCACTCCACGTGAGTCCCTGCAAATGTCACAGGCCAGGGAAAGAGTGCAGGGAGTGGTAAGCAGTGATGGAAAAGCACAGATTGGAGATGGGAGTGTGTGTGGGGGGGCAGAATGAACTTTTTACAGAAGGCATCTAACAGCTGGACCAATACAGCTGGACCAAGTTCTCTGTTGTTAGGACTAGGGTTAAAAGGTTGTGGTGCTAACAGGGGTATCAGAAACCCTCCAACTTTGCTGCTGACTTTAAAGACAGACTTTTCAGGACCCTTGGGAGTTTTAAGCCTAAGTCATGGCAGCATGTCTGGAACTATTCCTTTCCCCATCACTTGGCTTCTCACAGTCATGTGGGAAGGTGCCAGAACCTGATTCATCTGCTGTGACATCAGAGATGATTCTGATCTGCAGCAAGATATTGCATAGGCAGACAGGGAGCTGGAGATCCAGATGTGGTCACTGAGTTGGGAGAGTTCCAAGGAACAAAGAATAGGGCACGGTGGCTGCTTCTGCACTCCTCATTCACTTGCCTTTCCCTGTAGGAAACCAGCACCCTTCTTGGTAATTGTGCGCTCTTTTAGGCCACTTCAATTATATTGCTTTCCTGCTTGAAACTTTTTGGTGGTGTCAGTTGCTGAAGGGCCAGGGACTGATCATTGATGGGGTCAAGAACCACAGAGTGCAACCTGTTTTTCCCTGCTGAGATTTTGCTTGCAGTCCTCTAGAGGTGTACCAAGAATGCCTCCTTTCCTCTGTTTCTCCTTTAAAACCTGTGTCATGGTCTGCGTAGGTCTTTTAGAGCTGAGGCAGGCAGAGGGTCTCTTCAGGAATTCTAGAAGGCATCCTTTTTGTCAAACACATTGCCTATACACTTGTTCCTGTGGCATCCAGCTTCCTTACTGGACCCTAGGTCACTTCAGTTACATTTCTTTTTTCCCTTCAAAACCTTTTGGTAGACTTACAGTTTCTTTAAGATTTTTCCTCGTCACCGCCGCTTGATTCCAAGCTCTTTCCAGCCTTGCATTTTCTCAGACTGCCACTAAACAGTATCTGAAAGTAATACATTCTGAACATGTCCCCTTATCTCTTCCCAAGCTCACTTCCGTAAGTGTTGGTTGAGATCATTCAATGTTCATCTTCTTTTACATTTCTTCTACCTGAAAACCAACTCTCTACCCTCAAAACTGTGTTTATTTGGGCCTTCTCCTTTATGGGGTCCATAGATAGCATCATATTTCAATATTATTTTCTAACCATATCTTTTTTTTACACTGTGAAATCCTGAAATGAGGGTATGTTTTATAATAATTAATTTGTTCAGTATTCATTTGATTTATTCCAAAGCATTTGAAATGCCTTAATAATGGTGCCAAAAGCTAAAAAACAAAACAAGCAAGCAAGCAGACACACAAAAATACTAGTCATGATAAGAATGGAATCAAGGGATAAGGAGGTGAGAAAACATGCAGGGAGGCAATAGAAATCATTATTAAGAATGGGAAAATAGACAGTTGAGCTCAGAAGGTAATTATTCAGATTTCAAACCACTGAGACAAAGTGCAGTCTATTCCAGCTTTTACGGCATACATATTCCTCAGGAGTTAAGTTTTCTTATACCTATTGGCATCACCATAGCCATCAGAGGAATGGGTCTTAATGTACTCTTCAAAAATAGATAATTAGGGGCTGGAGAGATGGCTCAGCAGTTAAGAACTCTGGTTGTTCTTGCAGAACACCCGGGTGTTCTGCAGCACCCACATGGCAGCTAACAACTGTCCTTAACTCCAGTTCCAGGGGATCTGACAGCCTCGTCTGTCCTCTGAGGCAATTGCATGACACAGGTGCACTTCCCTACATGCAGGCAATACACACATACACATAAAATAAAAATAACAAATAAATTTAAAAAAATAGATAATTAATCCTCAAAAGATCAAAGCATATCAACCTCTCCAGATCATTTTCAGGAAGGAAATTATTTCCTATTGAAGGACTGTGCTGCACACATTTCTTTTTGTAGCTCTTTGCTGCCACCTTCCTGGAATCCACTTATTCCTACCTGGGATAGTCACTCAGGCATGGGCATCACTGTGGAAATTCCTGTGGGGTGAAGAGCTTCCTGTTTTTTACCTACTTCTATGTGTTTAAATGCTGAGGGTGTGAACAGTATCTACATGTGCAGTTTGGGAAGTCCTAAGTTAGGTTAAGCATGGGCTATCTTCCATATGATAGGAAATAGAAGTGAGATCATTGGTAATCAGCACTCTGTTTACTCAGGGAGTTTAGCAACTCTCACTGGTGAGATGGGCTAGTGCATGACCCCTGGCATTCCATCTTAGTTCCAGTGAGAGTACTCACCAGAGAAACAGTCACTTGTTTCCTTAATATTTTTCTTATGTTAATATTTCTCATCCTTCCACTTAACCATTCTTTCTCTTCCTCTCTTTTTATATTTTTGAGACAGTGTCTAATTCTTTAGCCCAGGCTGGTCTCAAACTTGTAGCAGTCCTCCTGCCATAGCCTCCCAAGTACTGGGACCACAGAAGTGAATGACTGGCTTGGTGTTCACCCTCTTTCTAATTTTGCTTCTTTATCCCACTTTATTATTTTTTCAGTTAGTTATTTATTTAATAACCACATACTTAGAAGAAGCATTTCATTACAGCAGCACTGACATATTCAATAACAATTTTCTGAGCTAAGATGAATCTTTTTTCAAAATTGGCTGTAAATTTTTTAGGTTTACAGTTGAATTGTTACAATTATACAATATTGTACTCAGTATAAACCCTATAAGACATAAAATTAAATGAGGTTTTAACCTTTAAAAAGATATCCATTTCATTATTAAAATACAGTTTCACACAGAAAAATTCATTTTCTATGCAATTAACATTAAGATGTTTGCACATGCGTTTCTAATCCCTATATATCTGATTATTACTAGTGACAGCCGGTTACTTTCTGAGCTCCTTGACATCTGAGCATGGATATAAAGTCATCAGGTAGATTTCAATGGTAATGTTTTTCACATTTACTAATTATTATTTTTCTATCATTATTTTTTAAATTTTTAATAACTACTTGATTAGAAGAAGCATTTGACTACAGATTTAACATATTCAGTAACATACTCCAGAGCAAGAGTACATCTCTTTCACAAGTGGGTACAAGTTTCTAGGTTCACAGTTGAGTTAATACAGTTATACAATATTGAACTCAGTATAAGCCCTGTAAGACATAAAATTGAATGAGTTTTTTAACCTTTAAAAAGATCTCTATTTCATTTTAGAATATATTGTTCCTTGCAGACAGACTCATTGTTTTTTCTACTAACACTGAGATGTTGGCACATGCATCTCTAATCTGTATGTATCTGATTATTACTAGTCATAATCAATTGCACTTGGACCCTTGGCACCTGTGTATGTCTATGAAGTCATCGGGTGGATTTCAGTGGTAATGTTTATCACCTCTACTAATTAGCATGATGTAAATTTCCATGCTTCCTCCTCAAATATAATACATTTTGTAAAAATTTGTTCATTTCTCTTTGTGTGTGTATATATTGCACAGAACATCCCAAACCATCTTATTCGACTATACACCCACTTCCCAGTTGGCACCCTTCCATAGCCTCCCTCCCCCCACTAGAGCCCTTACACTCTGATATCTATCCCTGCTACTGTCTGCTGTGTTGTCGGCACCCCAGCCAATCTCCACTATTTGCCCTTCTGTTGAATCTAATCAGCTTATCTAGAGGTTTTTGTTTTAGGGGGGTCAGCTGTTCCTCTGCTAGCAGTAATCATTTGTCAATACTCCTTTAGATAAAAATAGGGTCTGCTGTTCATTTTCCCAGTTCTATGCTGGATTACTATTTGGGAGTCCCTTTGTTCACTCTGATCAACAACTCAGAAGAAGGTATCTCCTATTTGGCATTGTTGCTTGTTATGTAGCTTTTAGCTATGCATATGGACTCTTAAGAAATTATATTGGCCCCTTTAATCTTTGGTTATACTTTCCTTTTGGATGTTTAAGGCCATACAGTTGTCCCTGATAAGCCAATTTATTTTTACTCTTAAGGTCATTTGAGGACCTGTTCCTCAGGGGTCACATGGGCTTTGGAGGAGCC